TGGATGAGCTTTGAGGTCCCTTCCACCCCAGACCTTTCTGTGATTCTAAGTTAAACAACTACAGTCGTTTTAATTAAACTAAACTTCATTAAGCTAAATGAAGTCCATTTTAAATTGAAGTGCATTCTGACAGAAGCTCAGTACCATTCAGAGCATTGGATGCTGCTGCAGCGTTGATAAGTCTGTACAGAGAAATTCCTTGCTGCGTGACAAGGAGCGTGTGCCATTTTTGGTGGGGGTCAAGCAGCCTCTTGCCCCTCTCACTCCGATCCTCTTATTCTTTTCCAAACTCCAAATTAAAATGAACAAAGAAACAAAAACCACCCTACTCTAAATTCACAAGGTCACCTCACTGATAGGAATTTTCCTCAATTTCCCAGTGCAGACCAGCCCAAAGAATGAGATACATATAGGCAATTGATTTGTTTTCATTGGAAAATCAATTATATCCTTAAAAATATTTCAGGATAGTCTAAAGGTTTGCTTTCGGGTAGAATTTCTGTTTTGAGTGACTTCTACAATTAAGTGTGGGGCCTGAACCTTGAAAACATGAAAATGACCACCAGATCAGCCAAAGATCCATCCTGCATCACCCTTGAAGCAAATGAAAGGTTTGAGATGTACCGGCCCAGCAGACTTCTAGTAACACCTGGCTCATTTCCCTTGGAACATTTGGAATTATAAATTATTCTGATCTCCATATTTAAACTCCTAAAAGCTCATTTATGAAGTATAGAGATGCTGCACGTGTGCATGAAAGCATCAAGTTGTCTAGTAAAGATCCAAGCTGTTTGCTGACTTGTAATTTAAAAGTAGCAGATAGCATTGCCTGGTTTGAGCATGGTTTGGTGATGGAGAAATGCTGATTATAAATTGTATCTTGCCTCAGTCTCCTTTGATTCACCTGAGTTTTCTGTGAGCTGTGGACTCTGGTGCTGATGGAATCCATCATTGTGTTCACCCCCTGAAGCACACCTATGTCCCGCTTAATGGCATGTGAAACCCTCATCTCACCAGAGGGGAAAATCAAACCCTGGTGAAAGCTGGCTATCAGCCTGATGAAGGAGAGTCATGGGGGAATTTTTGGTATTGCTGCCAGGATAAATAGATACTAAAAATACTATTAAGAATTGACATAGTGAAAGCCTAAGTTGAATATTGCTATATGTATCCGTCAGACTAATGGAAATATTTGCATTTAAAAAAAAAGTAGGTATTTGCTCATGTACCTGTGACTTTTGGAAAAGTACATCTTGAAATACAAATAAATACCCAATGGTAAGTTGTGTCTTAATGCATAGGTTTGAGAGATTAATTTCCTAAAAAATGAAAGAAATATCCGTAATATGTGTCCTTTCATTTCTGGATGGTGCTTTCAACACCAAAATGAGAAAATTTATTTCTCTGTTTGTTTCTCTCTTTTCTTTCTAAGCTCCAAAATCCCCTTCAGAAAAGACTCGGTATGATACATCACTTGGCCTTCTTACAAAGAAGTTCATTCAGTTGCTGAGCCAATCTCCCGATGGGGTCGTAGATTTGAACAGAGCAGCAGAGGTCCTCAAGGTGCAAAAAAGGAGGATTTACGATATCACCAATGTACTGGAAGGCATCCATCTCATTAAGAAAAAATCCAAAAACAACATTCAGTGGATGTGAGTATTCAGTATTCGTTTCCTTTCCTGCTGGCTGATTTCACTGTCACAGAGCAGCAGTGTTTTCCTTCTTCCCACCTTCCATTCTCACACTTTGCTACAAGCAATCATGCAAAACACCTTCTACCAGGATGAAGCTTTCTTCTTCTCTTAAAACAGGTTATCAGTGTGTAAGTAGCATTCGTCAGGGAAATTATAACCCAGCATTTTGTCTGAATACTGGATTAACTCATTTGCTTTTGCAAGCGGATTAAGTTTTTAGGTGCACATCTGTACCTGCTGCTTTCCTTGGTCTTTTTCAGGATGTGGTTAGAGGAGAGGGGAGTTAGAAACAACAATTTTGGAAGAGCTTAGAAATATTCAACTTTTCCATCTTGGTGGTAGTTCCAAAACGTGTTGTCATGATAAAAAGATGCTGTTTCTGGAAAGCAGAATTTATATTGACTGGCTATGGGCATGTTTATGGAGAAGGAGCTGAGGACTTGGTCTGCACTATCGAAGCCTGCCTCTTCCCTTTCCCATAGCACAGGGTCGAGTTTTACAGGTGCTGAAAGGGCGTCTTCCTCCTCTGTGTCCGTAGGGGCTGCAGTCTGTCCGAGGACGGTGGCATGCTGGCCCAGCGTCAAGGCCTCACAAAGGAGGTGACCGAACTGACTCAGGAAGAGAAGAAACTGGATGAGTTAATCCAAAGCTGCACCCTGGACCTCAAGCTGCTAACAGAGGACTCAGAGAATCAGAGATATCCTTTTTGCCACAGCCTCACAGGTGGTCAGTCCTCTTGCTGTAATACAAAGAGAATTCCTCTAAGGAGTATGATACGAAGGATCAGAAGTTTCCAGAAGTTGGATAGCGGGTTTTAATGTGATTCTGTATAAAAGTTAGTTACTTAAGCCACTTGTACCTGTAATCCTTCTGGAATTTAAATTTAAAAAAGAGATAGAGAGAGAAAAAAAGGCGTTGTATGAAGGAGCCCATTAACATCCATGTTCACATAGAGTAGAACCAAGAATTTATCTGATTAATGAGCGACGACTTCCAAACCCAACATCCAAACCCGGACTTTTGAGCCCAGAGCAAACCCCATTTTGATGTGTGCAGAAATGGTTTGGGGGATTTCAGCAGGAAAACAGGAGAATTAGGCTTGTAGAGGGAGGGGAATGGGGAAAAAGGGGGACTGGGGCAGCAGTGGTAGAGATGGGAGAGCAGGAGGTACTTACTCATCCCTCCTCACCAGTCTAAGTCTTCTTTCAGTTGAGGCAGATGGAAAAAAGCATGCAAACAGTCTTTGCTAAGGTGAATGTGTGTACTCATTACTTAATGTTATTGTTTTACATTAAACTGACATGTATATAAATTACACAGAGATGAAAATAGAGTTGGGAGTCAGTCTAGTCTGAAACTTGCAACAAATTTTTAGATTCTCTGGTTAGAGAATCTGTAATAGAATAGCATAGATAAAGGTTTTATGAGCTCTTAAAATGTCTATTTCGGACTTATTTATTGTAATAGCAATGCTCAGTTGCATAAGGTTCAGAGGACCTCTGGTATTTTGGCTACTAATACCCCTTGTAAGTAACCAATTCTCATTTTCATTAGATTTACCACCTATTAACAACAGAAGAGAGCATTTCATTAAATGCTGATGTGGAAACTTTTATTACTTTAAATAGCAAGTAGTTCTTAAAGAGCATCTAATAAGGTGGATTTATTCTCTGTTTTGAAGGATAGGAAATAATTATGGGAGTGTCAGTAAAAAAAAGTAATGTGAACTGTGTAAATGTTATCCTTTGGTTGTGCTTGCATCTTGAAATGTGTATGAAAGCAAGACCACCGAGCAACACAGGGAGCAGGGTCAGCGCTGCCTTGATCCATGAAGAGATTCAAGGAAAGCAAAACTGAGCGTTGCAATTCTCTATTTTTCTAGTGCTGTTTGCTGTGGTAGAGATCCCAGCCCTGCGGTTGCTGGCTCCCCTGGGGATGGGTGAGGGGGGATCAGCGTCTTGGCCTCGTGCTTTTGGATTTAGGAGAGCGTATGCCCCACATCCTTCTGTGACTCTTCAGTTTACTGAAAATAGTAGTGATGACTGAGGGAGGAATGTGGAAGCATGAAAGCTGAGGATGAATCTGAGTGCAGCCCACTGACATGAGTTGAACACTTAGGGAGCTGAGAAGCCTCTTTCTTTGCCTCATCTTGGAGGCGAAATTTCTGCTTTTAAAAATGTTTTTCTTTTCCCTCACAATTAAGTAGCACCAAAGCACTGTTTGTGCCATGGCTGTGTGCTTCCTCATCTACCTTATCAATAGACTTGGACAGTAAATAAATAGTCGCTACCTTGAATGTTTTGGGATATAGGATGAGAGATAATGGCCTCAGGTTGCTCCAGGGGAGGTCCAGGTTGGATATGAGGAAAAATTTATTCTGTGAAAAGAGTGGTCAGACCTTGGAACAGGCTGCCCAGGGAGGTGGTGGAGTCATCATTACTGGAGGTGTCCAAGAAACAAGTAGATGTAGCACTCAGAGATATGGTTTAGTGGGCATGGTGGTGATGAGTTGATGGTTGGACTGGATGATCTTAGAGATCTTTTCCAAACTTCATGATTCTGTGATGCCCAGCGTTACCAAGGAGAGCTCTTAGCTACAGCAATGAAGATTGGTGTTTTATTTGAAAACTGCAGACTTTTTCCTTTGTTCACGCAGTGGCAGCCACTGTGGCTGTAATTTGTACTTGGCCTTTGCAAACCTTCTGGAGCCTTACAAAAGGGGTGGCAAAAGCCTTGATAAAAGCTCCTTGCCTGAAAGGTCACCTGTCATTTTGCACCCTGATCTGTTATTTTGCTGTTGGTCTAAGTCAAATGTGAGATGTATTGGCGTTTTGAACTTGGCCAGTTTGTCTTACTGCACCAGTATTATTCACATTTACACCCCTCAAAAGTGTAATAATAAATTAGGCTTTTTATTTCTATGGCCTTAATAGTATGTTAGATACCTCGTGGATGGCAAAACTAAAGAGCTGGAAGTGCTTGATCGGGGTCATTTCACAGTTTGTGACAAAAAGCTCTGTGACCCCTCGGTTACACAGGTCAGTAAGTGAGGCACCACTGTGCAGTAACCCACCAAAATGCTCACGTTGATTTGGACAAATTAATATTGAGCAGCAAAATATTCATGTTCGTTCCGTGCTTATGCAGAAATCAACTTTCTGCACGGTCAGGTTCTTTAAAGTAGTTGTTTAAGCCATTTTTTAAAAAAATAATTTCAAATAATCTCAAATGAAAATGGGAATTATTATTTTATTGATGACTTCAAAAATATATTGTGTATATGCATCCATAACCTGCGCCTGTAAATTCCTTTACATTTTGTCTGTGATTTCCAGTTCTCTGCACTTTCATTGCAAGTGTGTAAAAAAAAATCATGCTTCTCACAGTCCGCAAGTAATTGCGGGTTGTCGAGCTTTGTCTTAGATATCTTTACATGTGTAAGGAAGAAGAGGGAGAAGCCCATTTGTCACTTGGTAGCAACCCCAGCTGTTAGATCAAAGAGAAATTCTCACACAGTTTCACTGCAGTCACAACCAGTGTCGAGAATAGAAAACTTTGGGCTAAGAGCAATGTAGCCATGGGGAAAATGGAAAGAATTCTCTCTCTTCTAATGGTCTGAATATATTATAACCTGGCTTGGAAAATTCCTTAACAGTGATTACATTAGCTTATGTGACTTATCAAGATATTCGAAAAATTAGTGGCCTTAAAGACCAAACTGTTATAGTTGTGAAAGCTCCTCCAGAAACCAGACTTGAAGTGCCTGACCCGGCGGAGGTAAGGAGAACCTGGCTTTTCCTGCCAGGTGATAGATCATTTTTCTGTAGATGGAGCAAGTGTGTTATTGAGTCTTAACTGTGGTAACTGACACCCAAGTTGGATTATACTGGCATAGAGTCCTATAGCCATCTGTCTTACAAACCTTGGAGGTGGTTCATTTAAAAAAAGGAAGGGGAGTCTTTAAAAATAACTTTTGACAAAGCAATCATTCTTTGTTTGTTTTCTCCCAATTACAGCTTTCCTTCAGAGTAATCCACGCTATTTACAGATTATTCTCTTTTGCCATACTTCATGTAAAGAAGAGTTCTTCCTTGACAGTTGAAATTTCCTGTTTGTAACCATGTAAAGTCTTTCTCTTCAGAGATTCCACTCGTATTTTTTTTTTAGTTATGAAGTTCATGGATAACTCAATGCCTTAAGCATTGACTCATTACTGATACTCTAATTTGTTGAGTCGTGTTTTCATGCTGGATTTTATTTTCTCAAGTATTACAGTTATTGTAGAAACTTTTGTTTTACTCTTAGAACCCGTTCTTGCCCTTCATTCATCATCATCTTTGCTTCATTGATGCTGATTTTACACACTTGTATAAAACTTTGTATGTTCTGTTAGTGCACTTTTTGTTTGCTCTCGTGAAGTCTGGAGGGGATGGGGGTTTCCTTTCCTGTTTTATTTTGAGTACTTCTGTTTCTGAAGCTGTCTGTGTTCATCTGCATCCCTCTTCTCTTGCCCTTTGCTACTCGAGGCGCAGTCTCTATCTCTGAGTGCCAGCTCTTGTATGTGAGATGTCTGTCTCTCGTTCTTTCATCCTCATTTTGTTTCTTTTCCTTATCTCAGGTAGATGTCTAAGGTAACTTAGCTGCTTCTCCCTTCCCTTACCCGATGTCAGTTACAGAGAAAAATGCTTCAGGTGGCTTTTCTTTGAGGGTATCTTCAGGGAGTAGCTTCACTTTTCTTCTTTCCTCTCATGGTTTATGAACCACATGGTTCAGCTGCTCCTGGGGTTTTGTCTCTTGGTGGCAAAACTAAGCTGCTTTACAATTCCCAGTTATAACAGACCCCAGTTATATTGGGCAAACATGAATAATTTGCATGAGCCACTGCTTTAGAGATTGAAATATGTACCTAATGTCTTCTCTCAAGGAGCAACTAGCCATAGGGCTAAACCCCAGAAACCTTGGTACTGTGTTCATACCTCTACGTTATTCCTTCATTGCTGCTGTTGGGCTGGTTCCACTGTGCCCAGGGCCACTGTGGTGGTTTGACCCACAGTGGGACC